CGCGGGCTCTCTCGCACGCACGCCCGCCGTCTGAGACACCCGGCCGCTGGCGCGGGCTCTCTCGCACGCACGCCCGCCGTCTGAGACACCCGGCCTGTAATAAGAGACCCTGCCTGTAACACGTCCATTAGAAAATGTCAGATCAATGAGAACCGATGGGCTGGCCAATGCATTCGACAGCCAGCCAGGGGTGAAGAGCTCTGTCTCTGTGCCCTCCAGGTACTGTGACCAGCTGAAGATGTCCGACAGCACCCACATCATGCAGCCCTTCCTGCCCAGCGTGCTGGACGGCCTGGTGCAACTGGCGGCCCAGTTCAGCTCGGAGGTGCTAACGCTGGTGATGGAGACGCTGTGCATCGTGTGCACTGTGGACCCAGCCTTCACCACCAGTGTGGAGAACAAGATATGCCCCCTCACCATCGCCATCTTCCTCAAATACAGCAACGGTAGGACAGACCGATTCCTGTTGTATTCCCTCTGGTGCTGGGGTTTCAGTGCTGTGCTGTGTTATAAAAAAAGTGTTGTCATGGAGTTATATTATAAATAAAAATCAGATAGATAACAATAGTTGGGCATGCGGTGGTGCCCAGGACATGAGGAGGACAAGATTGGCTCATACCTGAGCAATAGTGGGGCTGGGGTGTGTATTCTGATAGATCTCTCTCTTTCTCAGACCCTGTGGTGGCTGCCCTGGCACAGGACATCTTTAAGGAGCTCGCCCAGATTGAGGCCTGCCAGGGGCCCATGCAAATGAGGCTCATTCCGACACTCATCAGCATCATGCAGGCCCCAGCTGACAAGATTCCCTCAGGGCTGTGTGCTGTGAGTAACACTCTGAAGCCACCTCACATACACACAAGACACCGCACAACACGACACTGCGCCTGCTCCCCGGGGGCCTGTCTGTCCGTCCGTCCTCCAGACGACTGCGCCTGCCCATTTGTGTCCGCTGTGGGACTTCGACTTGGACAAATAAAGGTAGTTACCCAGGGCAAGATCTAGATTTCGGGAGACTGACCCTGTGCCTACCCGTTTGCAGACGGCCATCGACATCCTGACCACAGTGGTGCGGCACACGAAGCCGCCCCTCTCCGAGCTGCTCATCTCGCAGGCCTTCCCCGTCGTGGCGCAGTGCACCCTGCGAACGGATGACAACGCCACCATGCAGGTACGCTCGCCCGGCTGCAGCTGCAGGCAGTCAACAGCACTGCTCCAGTGGGGCTTTATCCTCCCAAAGACGGCATCCCATCTCGCAGCAGCTGGAGGCGCTTGATGTAATGTCACTTGATCTTCTCTCTGAGCTCTCTTTGACTCCTGGCCGTTCTCTTTTTGGCTGGTTGAGGATCTGTATTTAGCCGTTTTCACCCACACGTCGTGCTTTTAAATTCATTGCTTCTCGTTTTCTCTAGTTTGTTTCTGAGGGAGTCGTCTCCTTCCTGGCGTATCTGTGCATCATCTCTTCCCCTCGCTGTCTGTTCCCGCATTGGGTTTGCCCCGTGTCGGGGTGCAGTCACCCAGGCTCGGCTGGGCGTGACGGCCCCCTCTCTCTCTCTCTCTCTCTGCAGAACGGCGGCGAGTGTCTGCGCGCCTACGTCTCGGTGGCCCTGGAGCAGGTGGGGCAGTGGAGGGACGAGCAGGGCCACAGCGGCCTGTGGTACGTCATGCAGGTGGTCAGCCAGCTCCTGGACCCCCGCACCTCTGAGTTCACCGCGGCCTTCGTGGGCCGCCTGGTCTCCACGCTGATTGCGCGGGCCGGCACGCAGCTGGGCGACAACCTGGACCAGATCCTGCGCGCCATCCTCAGCAAGATGCAGCAGGCCGAGACCCTGAGCGTCATGCAGGTGGGGGTGCCCCCTGGTGGTTGTGGTGGTGGTGCTAGTGTGACTGCCTTTCAGTGCATATCTGCACTGCTAGAATGTTAATAATGGCCTCTAGTCTCCTGCAGCGATCTTGTGTCCGAATTGAGCTTCAGATCATTTCCTATAAAGGCTTGTCAAACTCTCTCGTGATGCGTCCTATATAAAGGATAGAACTAATAGTTTTTCTTTGCATCTAATATGCAGGCAATTAAAGTGGATAAGTAGAGCAGAATATTTCCAATCCAGGCACTAAAGAGACTTTGACACAGAATACATGGGCAGCCCAAGACATGTATGTACAGTACTCTGGTGTAGGCGTGTTCGTCGTGTGGTACCTGGAGTAGGCTGATGTTTATGCCATAGGAGTGGGAAAGACTGGCACTTGCAAGGGGGCTATATGTTTGTCTATCCTACTTGATGGTTGGTGTAAGCTCTCCGCAGTTCTCTGACTTGGAAAAGGGAAAACTACAATGCTATTTTTATATTTCAGAGTTAGAAAGAATCCGCCTTAACGAGTACATTTCTGATCACAAAGTTAAGATGTGCACAGTAACACGCAAGACCTCCAACTTGCATCACAAAATAGGCAAAATTTTCAGGTATGTGCAGTGTCATGTTCTGCAATTCAGAGTGAGGCAGCGAAACGATGACGTGAAGCTTATAACATTGCAAAGAAGCAGGCTTGTGAATGCATCTCTTTTATCCAGTGGAAATATCGCTCTGGACTTTGAGACGGTTTTGTCGACAATTACACTTGTTAACTCACTCTGGAACATTTCTGTGGTGAAAAGTCTGCTGCACAACCTGTGCTCGCACGGCACATTCCGCTAGTCATTACAGCGACTAGTGAGCAGGAAGGGCGGCAGCACATCACAGTTCGTGGGAACTTGAATACGTGTTTGCAACAGCGTGGCGAGTTACGGTACTTTTACAAAGTTCAAGTTTTTTGTCCTTAATTCGAAATTCGTCAAATGATTCTAGAACATAAATTAATTGAATAACTGTTCTGAGAAACTGGGACTGCGGTTCCCCTTTGAAGAAAAAAACACAGATGAACTGCAGCGTAACCCAGGACTAAAGAGCCCACCCCACGGCCTGGAGATTGCAGACCTGCGTTTTGGGGTGTCGCTGTTGAGAGTGTGTAACCCTGTGTGTGCTCACTGTCTCACCCCCCCCGTCCAGTCCCTCATCATGGTGTTCGCACACCTGGTGCACTCCCAGCTGGAGCCACTGCTGGAGTTCCTGTGCAGCCTGCCCGGCCCCACGGGGAAGCCCGCCCTGGAGTTCGTCATGTCCGAGTGGATGAGCCGGCAGCACCTCTTCTACGGCCAGTACGAGGGCAAAGTCAGGTGAGCGCAGGCTGGCCTCGAACACGGAACGAGAGGTCCGCAGTGACCGGATAGACCCCAGATCTCCATCCCCGGTGCCGGAGAGCCACACTCCAGCAGGTTCTTTAGGTCACGGTTAAATCGCCAGTTTTTGCAGGTGTTGAATCATGTACTTAAGAGGATATTTGAGACTAAAATCAAAATACTCTTCAGTTCTCAAGGACTAGAATTCTCATAATTGAACAGATCACCTGTTTGATTCATCATTAGCTCAAAGGAGTTGTCAGTCTTTAAAAGGAACTGATTTATAAGACTGACTGGACTGGAGCTCTATAGGACTAGGGCTGGAGACCCTCTGATTCAGGGTGACCTATAAGACTGACTGGACTGGAGCTCTATAGGACTAGGGCTGGAGACCCTCTGATTCAGGGTGACCTATAAGACTGACTGGACTTGGGCTGTCCAGGACCAGGGCTGCAGACCCTCTGATTCAGGGTGACATATAAGACAGACTGGGCCGGGGCTCTGTAGGACCAGGGATGCAGCCTCTCTGATTCAGGGTGACCTATAAGACTGACTGGGCTGGGGCTCTGTAGGACCAGGGATGCAGACTCTCTGATTCAGGGTGACCTATAAGACTGACTGGGGCTGTCCAGGATTGGATACCCTTTCAGCGGCCACTGCAGGCCTATCACACTTGGACGAACTCCTGCTTCATGTTTTGAGGGTCAGGCTGTTGACCAAAGCAGGAAGTGTTTTAACAGGGGTTCCACTTCTGATTATGGGAACCCCTTGTGCCGTTGACCTAATGAACCAGCAAGTCGCTGGGTTAGGACCTGTGCAAGTTTTTCCTTCTACTCAACGCAGGGAAATGCAATAGTTAAAGGGCAGCCTCCTATATATTTAAAAAGTGAAAATAGAGAGTAAACCTGAAAATTAAAACTTGTTAGATCTGTTAAGAATTCAAAGATTTAATTGAGTGCTCAGGTGGGGAAAAAAAACTCACACTTATACCAGACTTTGGCAGCATATCACTCTTACAGTTAAGCGTCTCCATTGCTGGACTATAAAGTGAATAAAGTCACAGATTCAAGACAATATCTTGTTACTGACTTAAGGCTTTAAATAATCTAACCCCTCTGTTTACATTCCTTCCGGTTCAGTTGAGGCTGGTCCTTGGATCATTGTCCCCAGGACTTAATCTCAGACTTTTGGTGATTGAGCTTTTTTCATCTGCTCCGTTGTTATGGAATGCCCTTCCTCCAACTCTTCTTCCTCGACTGTTTTCAAATCTAAACCTAAAGCTCACCTTTTTACTTGGGCCTGCACAGGTCATTTATAAGTAAGGTATTATTATTTTATTATCAGAAATCATCAGGTGACGACCAGCATTGGGAGCCTCTCTTTTGATGGCATCTTCTCTTTTTCCCCTACTTTGTCTCCCTCCCCGCAGCACGGTGGCGCTGTGCAAGCTGCTGCAGCACGGCGTGAACACCAACGACAAGCGCCTGCAGGACATCATGGTGAAGGGCGAGGAGATCTTCAACCCCGACGAGGGCATCCGCACGCGCTCCAAGAGTGCCAAAAGTACGAGCCTGGGGACTCATGCATTCGCTTGGGGACAGCCGGCAGATCAGGCTTTATTGGTTTGAGCCTTGTGCCCGTGCACCAGTCACGAGGACCGTGCCCGCTTCCCTCTGGGGCACGCACGTGCCAGCCGTCCTGTGCCCCGGCCACTAGAGCCCCGCAGTACGCCGAGCAGAGGGGCACCTGGTGAATCAGTGGGGTCACTTGTACAGCAAGTGGGAGGGACAGCCCAGCCCGCTGAAGTCCACCCTGCTGCTGTTCGGGGAATCCGAGGCTCATTCAGAAGAGGGTCACCAGCTGAGCCCCGCGGTGTTACTTAATGAGAGGCGCTGGAAGGGGAGTGTTAATTGGATCTGGTTGGTGAATCGGTTAGATGACAGTCGGATCAAGGAGAAGCAGTCTGGGTGAGGAGGTTAATCGTGGTGTGTGATATTTTGACAGGAAAAGGTCAGGGAACAAAGGGAGCAGTGTTTTCCCCAGGTAAGACCGTTTCAGGGTCACTGGCAGCCATACAGATAGGGAACAGTGTTGGAAAACTGTTTGGCAGCTGACACGTAATGTCATGGTGTGTCAAATGAGCATTTGCCAGAAAAACATGGGATCTGTAACCCCTTATGTCACAGCACTTAGCACTTGCTAAGAGGGCCAGTGGTAAAACAACACTGTCCCACCATGTTCTTATCAGTCTTTTTCCAGTTATTTGAGCAGTGATGTCAGCGCACTGAAACACAAGGTGTGTGGTCCAGTTTATACATTTGTCAGCCCTGCGTGTTCAGCCTAGTTCTTCGCCATACATCCAGCATTTGCCACCTCATTGGCCTTGCCCTCTCTGAGGGACCTGGGACCTTTTTCCCCAGGTGGTTTGGGTATGAATCAAAAGATCATTCAGCTCCGATCCTGAGTGGCTCAGACAGTAAGGTGCAGGCTGAGCTGTATGATCCTTGCATCCCATGTTCAAACCTGCATCTCGCCACTAAGACGAAATCCAGTCTCCAGGAGTCCCCAGGTGATGAGACATGCCTGACACCGTGATGGTGGTGGTGCTGGAGTTAGTCTGCTAGGGGACTTGCAGGGGGGCGATCCAGGTCGCAGCAACATCTCCAGTTGGTGTAACCTCTCCTGTCAGGTGCTGTGGAGCTCATAGCATCTTCCAAGGCTGGCGGTTCTGGAGGTGAGCGTGCCATAGGTGCACATGGCTCTCTCTCCGGCATTTCTAGGTGGAGCCGATTCATAAAACAAGTAGGGATTCCAAATGGCACGGGTGTATAATAAAAAAAAAAATGCTGACTTGACGGTGAGTTCCAAGTTGACCATCAGCCTGTGAACCCAAGACAGACCTTTTGATGTAACTGGTTTTGTATTACGTTTTCATCTGGGCTTGTTGGGGTTTAAATTGGCAGAGTTGATTGTGGGGATGTGTTTTTGTGGGGAGGGATATATTTGAAAATCCATCCACAGTTCTGCCAGCCCTTCTGTAAGGTAGTCCTCGCTGTGCTCTGGGGTAAAGTCTCTCTCTCCCTCTCCCCCAGATCCTGAGCGGTGGACCAATATCCCCCTGCTGGTGAAGATCTTCAAGCTGATCATCAATGAGCTCTCCTCCGTGATGGAGACCAACGCGTCACGAGCCGCTGCCGCAGACTGGAGCCAAGGTACGGCAAAGACAGGGGCGTCAGAACTACCCACCGTGCCACAGGAAAGGCTGTTAGTAGATAGTACACATTGAAGTGTAGCATACAGTTCCTCGCCACATAGCCAAATTTTGCCACCTCGTTGGCCTTGCCCTCTCTGAGGAACCTGGGACTTCTCCTGGCGATATTCTTAGGCTTTGGAGATTTCTTGCAGTGAAGAGTCTGCCACACTCCAGTGCTGCTTGAGCTCAGACCTGTACAGTTTGATGATGACAAGATAGCATCAGTTTGAGGCTGGATTGACTGAGCACATGCGTCGCGGGCAGGGGTGGATATGTATGCCTGGCTAGCCAGCTGTCCCACAACGATCACTTGGTATGTGCTAGGTCCCTGCAAGCTTACAGCGTTGTTAGCTGATTATTATGTCTATGCTGCAAAAATCCTTATACCCTTCCTGCATGGAATCGCCAGTTATTTTTTGGTTTACAGCAGCTCCCTGTTCCAGCAAGGAGAAGTAGGGGGCGGTGGATATTCTCCCGCTGCCACATGCCAATGAACGTGCTGTGGGCAGCCCAGGGCCTTGTAGGACCACTGATTGATTGGAGGGCTGGAGCTTCCTGATGTCACTACAAGCTCCCACAGCCAAGACACTGTCACTATTGGTTAACAAGCCAAGAATCAGTCACGGTTGGCTAGTGACATAGCCCTGGCTAGAGCTCTCTGTGAGCGAGCTAACTGTGCTGACACAGCCTCTCGAAAGCCCAGAGACATTATAAAACAGCAGGTGGGGGACCAAGCTAGCTAGTGACACGTGGATCTACAGACTGCCTGTGCATTGATCATAGCCTGCATCTCTCTCTCCCTCCAGATTCAGGAGACATGTGGGAGGAACAAGAGGATGAGGAGGCCGAGGAAGATGAAGGATTGGCTGGACAGCTGCTGTCTGACCTGATTGCGTCCAACAAATATGGTAAGAGCACAATACTGCCCCCTCTCTCCATTCTGCCTTGTTGTGCTCACTCACATCTGGCACACAGCTGTTTTTAAGAGAATAAAGCATTTATGATTTTTGACATTAGTCAGAATGTGGTTATATAATTTTTTTATCCTTTAATAGTCAATTTCATGACACAGGGATGTATGATAGCACCAGTCAGCCCTTCTGCTTTTTATTCTATGCTATGCAACAAGAACGTGGGCAGCCTTAATACGGAGAGAATCTGTATGTTGCAACACAAGGCACAAAATGGAGTAAACCCAAACACCACAGTACTGTATCTGGTAGCTAGTTCTAGTGTGTTGTGTGTCTAGGGGTTGACACTGGGACAGAAGTGTAGTGGGGAAACTGAATTATCATGCATCAGTCATGCCTTTAGTGGCTGACTTAATAATGCTGGTTTAGATGAATCGCTGTAGTGTGATGAGTCAAGCGCTGTGTGTTGTGTGTGTGTGTGTGATGCCTTTGTTGTCATTGCTCAGACGATGATTACTATGAAGATGAGGATGAAGAAGACCCAGACGCCTTGAAGGACCCGATTTATCAAATAGACATTCAGGTAAATCGCTGATCATTTCCAAAACCACTGCTGCAGGCTCTTCTCAATTTTTCTCCCAGATACATGCAAATGAATTTTACACTCCATCAGAAATCCACTTTAGGCGGCTTTCAGATCTCTAACAGTTAAACAGCACAGATATGGTAGAAAGATGCATCTCATCTACAAATATATCTGTTGACAACACGGTAGAACCTTTAAGTCTACAGAAAGTATGTCATGGCCATGGAGAACCATGAAGAAACTAAGACCCATACGTTTTATCATCCAGTTTGCTCAACGGCAAGCTTTGAACACTGGGGAAAAAAGGATCCACATCTGTCCCAAAATAATATATCAAGTGCTGAAATGTCTTGGGATTTCACCTAGATCTTTTTAATTCACTAAGAGTAAAATAATGACCTTACAAAATAGGCAGTAGGGGCTCCAGAGTGGCTCGCTTGTTTATCTCCAGGTTGTTTTTTACAGCACCACTAGCTATAGATCTCTGAGTTGGTTAATTAGACCAATAACGGGCTGATAAGAGCCCAGCAAGTCGTTAAGAGCCCAGCTGGACTGAAAATCTGTAGACACTAACCCTCTGTGACCAGGATTGGGTACCTTTGATGTAACAGTTTCATCGAAACTGTTTGTACCTGGCCACGTCACCCAGCGCCCCCTGTTGGCGGTATTAAAGAGCTGCCTCTCTCTGTGCTTGTCGCCTTCCCCACTCCAGGCCTACCTGACAGACTTCCTGCGCCAGTTCGCGCAGCAGCCCTACTACTCCATGTTCTCTGGCCACCTGAACGAAGCGGAACGGAGGGTCCTGCACTCCATCGGCATCTAGCCTCCCCTCCTCCTCCTCCTCCCCCCTGCCTAACCACCACATCTCGCACACACGCCACACCCACGCCACATCCCTCCCAGGAGCCGCCCACGTGCCCAGCTCCAACCCATCCATCTTGCGGAGCGCCAAGGGAGGGGAGAGGGTGAGAGCCGGCTGTGACCTCCTCTCCGCCCCGCGGCTCAGTGCGGAAAAGGGACAATTCTGCACGTGAGAGGGAGACGGGCTGCACTGGAGGTGGACTGTCAGTAGGGGGCACCAGGAATGCGTGGGGGCTTAAAAACACAAGGAGGGGAGGGGAAAAGTTTTACCTTGGAAGGGACGCGTTCCTTGCGTTTCCAGGACTTGGGGAGGATGTTTTTTCCGAAGGACTGCTGTGGGACGCATCCCAGCTCCTCTCCAGGGCAGGCGGGGGGGCAGGCAAACTGGGACTGTTACATTGCAAACTGGGATCTGGACAGCCTTCTGCGGACGGATATTGTTTTTGTAGATGCAGTTGATGTGTTTTGCTGGAGAGAAAAAGGAACAAGGCCGTAAAGCAGGTGAGGAGGGCGCAAGGGAATAGTTGGTTCTGGGATAGAGAGTGGGCATGCAGCCTGCAGCTGTTTGCTTCCCAGTTCTGCGGATTTTCCAAGGACTTTGGCAGAACCCTGGGACTTTCTCCTTGAGGAACAGTTGGTCACCACTCTACCCTCCACCCTGGACTGCCTTTAATCGGAGATGGGGGTAGCACTTCAAGGACTGACCAGCAGGGGGATCTTGTAATCAGTTTTCACTGTGCTGTCAGTCCTGGCATGTTTTACACAGACGCACTTGTTAAAAGCAGCGGTTCTGAGGAGTGGGTTCAGGGTAACGTGCTTTACTGGTTTTTTTTTTGCAAGATCGAAGTCCATCCCAGAAGTTCAGTTGTCACAGCTTTGTTTATGAAGGCCACAAGGCCGTTTGGCTCAAGTGCTTCTGTCGTCTTGCGGACACATGGTAATGTACCAGCAAGGACAACACAGCTATGCAAAAGGTTGTGGAGTGGGTCTTCAGGGGGAGCAAGATAACTTTTCCATGTCTGTTCTGAAGTGGTACAAACCCAGGATGGGCAGCTCCAGTTTCTGAGGGTCTAGATTCCCGCAGGTTTTAGAGGTGCTTTTCATTTAGCAGCTTTTAAACCTTTAAACACTGAGGACTGGCATGCACATCCAAACACATGGTTCAAATCAGATAAAATCCAATCAGTTCTCCCTGGATCCCAGGATCTAGACTTGCCCATTCTTGGCAGGGAGGAAGTGAAGCCAGGCGAGATGCAAGTCTTACCTCCCGGGCTTGCTGGGCTCGACGGTCTGCACTTGCAAGGGAGAGTGGTGAAGGCTACTCCCGCAAAGCTGTCGTCATCCGCAGTCAATTCACTTACTAAGAGGTGTGGCCGCCGACATCCAGGTCAGCTCAGCGTGAGAGTCTAGACAGTCAGTGAAGGACACCTTGGCACTTTCTCCTCGAGTTGCAGTGGCATGGCGGTATTTCTGGACAGCGCCGTCTGAAAGCGGGGGAGCCCTGTTTTTCTCGAATGGGCGGCGAGTGGCTCCCAGCTGTCTCTGCCCAGCGCAGCGGGATGGGCCTCCGGTGACGTGCTCCCCCCTCCCTTCAGCTCTGCCACATCTGCTTCAGTTCAGGGCCGGCTGCGAGCACGGCCCTGTTTCTAACGTTTGTAAGGTTTGGAAAAAGAAAACAAAGACAATAAAAAAAGCACATTTAAAAAGGTATCTTAATTAAAAGGGAAGAAATGTCCTGTTTTGCTTATTTCTGAAGTACTTGGGCTTTGTTTTTGGCTGTCGAGTTGGGTGGGACCACTTCCCATGATCCCCTCCACTGTGCCACTCTTGGTCACTGCTTCCTCATCCCGTGTTAGTACTTGGAACAAACCATTCTCCATCCATCCGTTTTTCTGACAGCTTCATCCAGCACAGGGTTGTGGGGCAGCTGGAGACTGTCTCAGCAAGCAACAAGCGTGAGACAGGCTGCCAGTCCATCAGCGGGTAGACACACCAGGGCCAATTTTCCCAGAAGCCAGTTGCCCTACCAGTATGTTTTTGGACAGTGGGGGGGAACATATAATTGCCACACGGATAGCACCCCAGGTCTGGAATTGAGCCCCAGGATCCCAGCACTGCGAGGCAACAGTTCTAACCTCTACTCCACCCTCAATGTATTCCCATTACTTAAATTCCAGCTAATGTTTCTTTTTCCCTAACTTCAGAGCGACCTGGAGTAGGGCACTGGTAAAGGATGGAAAATGAGGGCACCATGCAGGACCTTTCAGCAGGAACTCCACAGAGGTGTAACGTGGTCTTGTAGTTGCCAGTCGCGTCTGGTCCTGGAGAGCTACAGCCCAGCTGCTGCTGTGGGTTTCTTTCAAGTCCCCAACAGCACAACATCAGGCGACAGGCTAAATTGCTCAAGGGTTAGTGGGACCAATTTAATGTTCTGGCTTTTGTCTTAAATTAGGCAGGGAACTCCCACCCTTGCTATTTTGTATCTAACCATAAATGTATCCATTTTTAAAGAGGCGGGCAATTAGATGGTGCTCACATCACCAAATGATTTAATTTGAGCAATTCAGAGATCACTTCATGTAGAAATGTGAATACTCTTCAGCTGTTGGGGACAACATCTTGCTTAACAACACTCCCTATTTTAATCCACCTATTGCTGTTGGTGCTACTGCACTTGGCCCCAGCTGTGTTTACTGCCACAGTGACCAGCAGGGCAGTCCTGGTCCTGAAGGGCTAATGTCGACATTTTTTCTACATCTCAAAGCAGGGGTTAAGTTGTCCTATTAAACCAGTAAATAGCTGCTTGAGCTCACTTGGACCGGAGTGGGAATGAGACCTGCAGATACACAGGCCCTCAAGAACCAGGATATCCCCTCACTGATCTAGACAAGGGATAAATGTCTAATTTAGGTAACCAATAGCGTGGGTATAAAGTTAAAAAAAAACGTGCAATGGCATTGGAAGGGATTATTTGTGGGTGCAGAAAGCCTGGCAGATGTTTGCAAGGAACACGCACCCCATTCTCCAACCTCAGCGGACAAAGGGGATGAATTCGGAGGCAGAGAACAGGAACATCTCGTCACTAAAGGCTAGAGGCTGAGGTTTGTAAAAAAAACGCTGCCAGTACATAACATCACTCCTTCATCAAGAAAGAAAAGGTACCACCTAGCAGGACCGAATAGGCTGGAAAAAATACACAGCAGTTAAAGACGCTTAAGTATAAATTCTTCATCAAAACACCGTTACTGTTTTATTAAATTGTTGACTTAAGCAGAAGTATAACTTTTCTTTTGCGCTAGAGGGAATTACTAGTTTGAATTATTTGAGCCTCTTCATTTTTTCCCCCTCAGTAATGTTGCTGCCGGAGTAGCTGTTGTTTAACAAATTGAATATTAATTGATTTTCCAAAGCAGCAGTGGTCGTTCAGTCTGCGTTTCACAGCTCTCGGTCCACAGGCAAGAGAGTTGGAGCCGCAACCGGACTTCATGATCGTTTTTAATTACATGGGAATCGAGTACCAAGCAGATTTTGTAATCGACTTCGTTCTCTCGATAGTTGACTGAACTATCGTGCTTTGGGAACTGTTTTAATGAAAGCCTCTAACCCCCTACTCCTGAAGCCGCCCAACTGGCACTGCTAGAAGAGCCAATCGACACAATGTAAAACATAGCATACTATTCCCAACTAGCTCTGCGTAGAAGACATTTTTTTACCGCAACCACCTGCTGTGTTTCTCAGAGGACATAAGCGGCGGGCCGTAGAGCTTCCCCAGTGTTATCGGCTCAGACAGATGGACACCAGTCTGTTCCTCCAATCCGGAGAAAGGCTCTCCAGGCCCCGATACGGTGGCGCGTGTTTCTGCGGATGCGCTAAAGGAGGCCGGGCGCACCGGGGTAAAGTTAGCTCGAAGTTCGAAAACGATTTTGGCACGCCTGTAGCGCTTTCACGAAACCTCTTAGAGTTGCGAGAATGCTTGTTTTGTGTATAAAATACATTGTGGATGCTTTCTCAGCCTTTACTTTTTCGATTTTATGACATTTTTTTGACCATGCACGAATATTCTTTTG